ATTTAGACCAAATATTTATGTATTATTGTAACCAACAAGACAAATTAAATAATATCTCTGGATCTACTAATGATATCAGGATGATAATCTAAATATCAAAATGTAGCTTTTAAAGCCGGGAACCTGAAAATTTGATTAGGTCATTTTGACCAAATTTGACTTTCGATGTGATGGGTCACGTTTATCTCTGACCTGTGCAAATTGCTGCTTTGATAGAAATTGATATGTGATATAATAAATTTTCTTTTTATTTTCAAACATGTAGGTGGGACAAGCCAGCCCAGAATGTCCTGCCTGACATCACTAAAGGCGGACTCACTTTCCAGCAGTGGCTTCAAAGGTGGAAACTTGCTGCCAAAGCCACATAACACACTGCTTTTAGGCACAAAATTTTTACACCGTTATAGTTAGAAAACGCATCAGTATGAGCTAAAGTCTTCTGTACTGTGCATTCTCATCATTACGATTAATGTTTATTATGTGAAAGTCTTTAATAAATCATAGCATTTGAAATATTTTGGTCTTGTCTTCATTGAACTGCATCTTAGTATTGTTTTTTTTTGCTCCGTATTAAAAAAAAGCTGAATGTGCGTTTTCAATATTATGTGTACATTTTGTATCCCGTTATTTATGTCTCACAGTCTAAGTTTGGTCCACCGATACAGTACATACCGTACAGCGTGTGTAAAAGTGTGCATGTGTCATGTAGCATGAAGCTATATTGTTCTTTTGTAGCAGTGAAGGGGGAGTGGAGCAATCCGAGTCTCGTGAACTTGCTCCTCCCACCTCTGCGCATGCGCAGTTCAAATATTCACTTATATTTTTTGTATTTTTTTTTTTTCACTCCTACTCTGGCTTCCGGACGCCAAGACGAGACCGCTGCCGCCGAATTTAAAGAGACAGGCTATAGTTATTTTAAATAACGACAACCATTGTGTTCGAGCTTATTTTCCGACGCTTCGTGTGCTTTCGCTTCAGTTCGACGGTGATGTTCGGTCAAACTCGCAGCGAGTAGCAGCTTGTCTGTCATCAGCCTCCACTCTCTGCTGAGTTTCCCCGTCCTTTTTTTTTCCGCCTGTGTGTGTGTGTGTGTGTGTGTGTGTGTGTGTGTGTGTGTGTGCGCCGAGAGACTGTCCAGTCAAGCAAAGTAGGATTGCTCGCTGGGGTAGGCAGGCAGGCAGGCTGGCTTTCCGACCGAGAGGAGCAAGGTTTGTCGCCTAGCCAACAACTGGAGGTAACATCGAAGCTTCCCCTCTCTTCAAGTTGTGGTAGCGGCTCTCGAGCCTCCCGTCGCCGGGGATAATGGCGAAGATTCAAGCGCACAGCGCCGCGAAGCAAATAAACCAAATTCAAGACAAGCCTTACGTTATAACACAAAAGCAAGTGCAGCAGCAGCACTTCCAGAAGCTGAAGGTAAGAAGACCAAACGGACACGATAGGGGCGAAAAAAAAAAAGTCTCGGGGCTCACAACCATTTTGTTTTCATCGGCTTGTTACATTGTGAGAGCGACGGCTGGGTCAAATAAAAGTAATTCGCGGCTCGGCAGCCAGACGTGGATGTTTTCATTTAATGAATGCGCGAGTGACAGTCGAGTGACTCGGTTTGTAGTACTTTTTATTTTTTTTTAAATTACGCCATCAATGGCAGCTGCTGTGTGAGAGCAAACATGAAGTCAGACCTCGGTTGTGGGAAGTTCCTCCTTGTTGGATTTTTTCTACCAGCTTGAAACAAAGTGGAGGACGCCAGCCAGGAACGGCTACTTCTCTTGATTAGCGGCTTCACTTCACGTTTCTTTGTTGTCGCAGTGTTGTAAGATACCGTTTAGCTATCGCCCGACACAATACAGTTGGCCGGGGACCAGCTGCGACTAAACATTGTGTGAATTTGTATGCGGGGTGTGTGTTGTGAGTTATATTTGTCAGTTGAACTGGCTGGTGGCTAACAGCGTTAGCTTCAGTAAACCCTCCTCAGACTGAACGCTTTGTGTGAACAGTTTTCTTTTGGCTATATAAACTAGCTCGGCTTGGTTTAATTCGAGAGCTGTGGATCAGCGAGCTAAAGCTGCTGTTTGATTTGTATTTATTTATTTATATTCGTGATTGCATTTGGTCGGACACTTGGACAGCTTGTTCTGCAAACTGCTGTTTTTTCCCCCTAGTGTTACTTATAATGTCTAAAAAGGATATTTTAGATGTTTCTGCAGCTCTCTGCAAAAGTCTTGCATCATCCTAATTACAATAGTTCAGGTTTTCGTGAGACATTGACAGTCTATTCTTTCATTTTTCACAGGAATGGGTTTTTGTTTAAGCCACTTAACTCTGGCCAGGCACACAAAGGCTCCTAAACTCGAGATAAAACCAGTCCTGTGTGACACATAGCAGAGAACTCGGAAGAAAAACAAATTTTTGTCACCAACAAGAGCCCTTGGCTGAAAAAAAAAATGCATTTAGTAAATTATCAGAGGTTGAACAAAGTAATTTTTGGGTCCTGTTACTTTCAGATATTGTCCTTTATAGATATATCTTTTTTAGTCCTGACATTGTCCACTTTGTCATGGTCAGGTGTCCCATGTATTCTTAGCAGAAAAGGTAAAGACATTTATGTGTGGTAGATCATTACTTTGTTGTAACAATGTGTCTTTGCAATAAATCTTATATGAGACACCTGATTGGCAGCAGGGGTTTGGGGAAGGAGGGGCTCAAAACAAGTGTCAATGGCAACAACAAAATAAACAGTTTGGCAAAACTTGCATGTGCACACACCCCACGTACTCTGCTCTACTTCTCATCCCACAAATTCACGTTCATTACAAACGTGGGGCCATTTAAAAAGGAAATTAACAGGCTTTCTAACAGTATAAGATTTATTGCCAAGAAGCTTTGTTACAACAAAGAAATAATCCAACAAACACTAATTTCCTTACTTTTTATCCATCCATCCATTTTCTGTACACGCTTATTCCTTTTTTCAGGGTTGTGTGGGTCACTGGTGCCCATTTCCAGCAGTCACAGTGCGAGGGGCGGGGTACACCCTGGACAGGTCGCAAGTCCATCACAGGACCACACATAGAGACAAACGAGACAAACAACCGTTCACTCTCTCACTCACACCTAGGGACAATTTAGAGTTATCAATTAACCTAACAGTCATGTTTTTGGTCTGTGGGAGGAAGCCGGAGTACCCGGAGAGAACCCACGCATKCACGGAGAGAACATGCAAACTCTACCCAGAAAGGTCCCCGGACCGGGATATGAACCGGTGACCTTCTTGCTGAGAGGCATCAGCTCTACCAACTGAGCTACTTTTTTATGCTAAGCTTAAATCAGTTGAAAGAATTTCAAGAAAATCTGACTCTTTGGAAGCAAAGCATAAAAGTGGGTCACATCAACAAATCTCCAAATAAAAAGAAAATATCTTCTTGTGTAGTAGCAAAACCACCTTTGTGTTTGAACCGTTTGATGTTGTGTATGTTAATGTATATTAGTGTAAGACTGATTTATAGCGCTGTAGCTGTCTTGGGAAAATAATATAACACCTGCCACATTCTGCGTCATCAACAGCACAGCACTATGCTGTAAAAAATAAACGCTGCTCCACACATCTGTTTAAGACTAATTGTCCCTTTCTGCGCTTTTAATTTTTCTCCCTCTCTTCTGTAAATTAGGTCGAAGATGCGTTGTCGTACCTGGACCAAGTCAAAATTCGATTTGCGAACGACCCTGGCATCTACAACAAGTTTCTCGACATCATGAAAGAGTTCAAGTCACAAAGGTAAACGTGAGAATGTGTCTACGCAAAACAAAAGTTTGAGCATTTGTGCGAGTGCTGCTCAATCTCACACCAGAACCAAAAAACAAGTCTTTGTTGAACTTCAGGACCATTGTGACAAATTAAAGCTTTAACTACTATTGGCAACAAACTAAGCAGGTGTGGTTTGCTATATGAAACAAACAAAAAAAAGGCTGCTGTACAAAATCAAAATGAAAGCTGTGATGTAAAGACAGTTTGCTAATTACTTGTCTATTTTATTCTGCTTTTCTGTATTTTAATATCACCAGCTTGTTCATATGTCATATTGGGTAGCATGCACAACAGCTGCTTCTAAATGTGTTTGTAAATGCTGTTAGTCGTTTTAATTCTGCCAGCTGGCATTTAGAAACGTCTGTCAGCACGACTCTCACAAACATGCTTCAGGTGTCGTTTATTGTAATATTAAAACACCAAACGGAGGAAAAAACAAAAACACAGCGACCACCAGGAAAATATGCTGCTGTTTTTCACTGTAGTGATTGATGAAATATTAAAATGAGTCAGAATTTTAAACCAAACCAGCGTTTGAACGGGAATGTGTTATGTTGTATTAATGATGATATTTAAACTAGTTTTTAAAAGTGCACAAGTCAAACCAGTACAAAACGGTGGCTGACACACACTTTGAGATGCACTCAACTTCACATTTGTTTTAAATGGAGTTTAATTTCTTTTTAAAACATTTCTACCCAACTTCATAGCATAGAGTTTGTCAGTGAGTGTTGTAAACAGCATCCTACTGTATTTATGTAACAGATATTCTTGATGTTTAAATGTGGGTGGATGAGATTTATAATTGTTGATAATCTGTTTCATTTTTAACCAATCTTGCCATGTTGGAGCAGAAGCTGATTGTGTTTTGTGTCTGTCAGCTACACCGCTGTAATGTCGGTCTACTTTTTTTTGAACAGCATCGACACACCCGGGGTCATAAACCGCGTGTCCCAACTGTTTCACGGACACCCAGACCTGGTCTTGGGCTTTAACGCCTTTCTGCCGCCCGGCTATCGAATAGAGGTCCCTAAGAATGGGATAGCTTTCCTTCAGTCTCCATTCTCCACACAGGTACAGTCCATTTCTCTTGTCATAATCCTTTTTATACGTTTTTAACAGCGAATGATTTATTTATCCTAAAATCTGTTTGAAATGTTTATCCATGCCAACAAACTCATTTGTTATGAAAGGTACACGGTGTTTAGGCCCACAGAACTTGTAAACTTTTAAACACAATTGGGCTTTTCAGTTTTAGTTAAATGTAGAATTTATTTTTCATAAATTTTTTTTAAAAAGCCATTCTGAGCTCCTCGTGCTGAAAAAGTATAAGACATTTTTGTGTCTTGTAAATTTGAAACATTCATGTTTGCTCCATCCTGCAATATTAGGAAATAAAACATTTTGATACAGCCATTTGTCTAGATAAAACTTTAGTTCAGTTTTTTTTATTTTAAACAAAAGATAAAAACAGAAAACAACAATGGTACCAAAATAATAGAAATTAAACCGTATTCACTATAAAATTACTTGATATATTCCAAACTGCTTCGCAATACAGTCAGAAGATTAAAACAGTAGGTAGATGTCTTTTTATTTTGAACAAATAAAATAAATTACCAAAAACAAGAACACGTATGCATACATACATGTATATAAACATACACAAGAATATAAAAACAATGTTTTCTAACATAAGAATCAATATTCATTTTAGCTACATGTTTGAAAAGCCGTGAGAAGTTTACACTTCTTTAATTCTCAGCTTTTTCTATTTATCATTTTTCGATATATCTTTAAATCAAAATACATGTTACAGTATATATTATATCAATAGTTTAAATAATACATACATAGCCTTGTTAGAAAACATGTACTGCATCTGATCTTGCATAAAAAATGTAATTTTATATTATGAAATAATAATAACGGAAACCCGTTGTTCATAGAGAAACGTAAAACGAGTAGCTCATTCTAATTTCTTCTTATTTTCTACTTGAACAAAAAGAAGTCGTGGTTCATCTTCTGTTCGTTTGTCGATCTGTGCAGGTATCTCCAGGACAGCAGGGGAAAAGCCTGACCACTTCTTCAGTAGCCGTGACCCCAGGTCCTGCTTCCGCTGTCCACACCGAGGCAGGCCCAGCCCAGTCCAGTGAAGTTAAAGCAGCCTCATCGGAGTCCTTGTCTTCAGTCTTGACGGGACCTCCAGAACCTCCCAGCCGGCTCTCTCTTCCCCTGACGAGCAGAGAAGGCCAGACTCAAGCCACCACCTCGTCCGTGTCCCCACCTGCTTCGGAGACCAGCCCCGTCGAGTTCGACAGTGCCATCAGCTACGTAAACAAGATTAAGAACCGTTTCCTGGACCGCCCAGAGATTTACAGATCCTTCCTAGAAATTCTTCACACATACCAGGTACTGAAGAAATGAAACTCTGGCAACATGTGATTTTGCAACACATTAGTGAATTATGTTCTTACTAAGAGGTTGTAGCAACAACGGTTTGGTTAATAATAGGGGTGTCCCGATACCAGTTTTTTCAAGACTGAGTACAAGTACGAGTACTTCAGTTTAGGTACTCACCGATACCGATACCGATACCAAGTAGCGGGGTTTGTGTGGATTATCTGTTCAACTTGTTGAATATTAAACAGAATGAAAATGAAATGCAATTATCATGCAAAAACTGATGGGTAAATATTAAGTTTGACAATAAAAAGGTAGTGCAAACTCTGACAAGTAGATAAGTTGTTATATAAATCACACCATAACTTTTGAAACCATTTATTTTATTTCAAACAGGCTCTTTTTTATAAGGCCACACTCCCTCTGAATGTATTAACAAAACAAATACTGCAAAACAAATGCTGTTGCATACATTAAAAAACAAAATAAGTTATTTTTATACATTTTTCTCAACATTCAACTACCAAATTTAAATTAAAATGTAAAACGTAAATTTTAGCAGCACATCTATAGAAGTTTACTCTGCTTCAGTCTTAAACTTTTAACAAAAAAATGACTAATAGTAATAAAGTGCAGTAAATTTCAGTTCAAACTTAAATGGAACAACTAAAACAAAATCTCAGAAGAACCAGAGGGAAAAATAAAATGCTTTTACAACAAACCTCCTTCCATATTCTGCTTTTGTCTTAGTTTGTTCTACAAGAAAGAAAAAAACAGCATTGAAGTTACTGCAACAACAGTGCTGTTTATGAAGGCTACTGCTAGCAGCAGCAAACTCTTTGAATTCTTTATCACGTCTTGTCCTCAAATGTTGAATCAAATTGCTGCTGTTAAAACATCCAACTTTCGCTCCTCCTCTTGACAGTTTAGCAGAGCACAGCAGACAGTCTGCTTGTTTGGTGTCCTCCGTGCCGATCTTAAATATCTCCAAACTGCCGATATGTTACTTCTTCTACCGTCATCGTTCTTCTTCTGTTATTCAGGGGTGCGATTGGAAATAACTTGTCAGTACATTAGTGCCACCGCCTGGTATGGATTGTTGTTTACCCTTTGKGCTGCAGCGCAGCACAGGAGGGGACAAAAGCGGTATCGGTTAAGAGTATCGGCCGGCTTTTACGAGTACGAATATGAGTACTTGATGCTGGTATCGGACCCGATACCAGTATCTGTATCGGGACACCCCTAGTTAATAATAAAGAAAAACACTAAAAGTCACATTTCTGCTGTAACATGCTGTTTCTCGGTAATATTATATATGACAGTGTGTACCCAAAACATTTGTCTTTGCCTTTTTACTCAGTAAAGTTTAGTTCTTTACATATGAAAACATTTTAATGTAACTCTTCAGAAAGAGCAGCTGGAGGTGAAGGAGAGTCGCGGCAGTCGAGGAAGTTGTGGGATGACTGAGGATGAGGTGTTTTCAAAAGTTGCCAGTCTCTTCAAGGGACAAGAAGACCTGCTTGCTGAGTTTGGACAGTTCTTGCCTGATGCCAAGAGATCGCTGGTAAGTCGAGCAATAAACCAAGATTAACTAGAAGCACTCGGAGAGAGCAAAACTCCACCAAGGCTAATTTCCCCAATCCTGTAAGAGTTAATGCGCAAAAGGAGAGATGGAAACACATTTGCCGAATAAGTTCTGACGTAGTGAACATTTAAGCAGGCAGTATGCATGGGTTTTCTTCCCGCTGGAGTCCAATGTTCATCGTCAAACTGGTGTCGGATTAAGCTCCTAGGTTTTCATCAGTCACATTCCACCATGTAAAACGTCTGTTTTTTCCCCTGTTATGAGTTTTTAATGGGTTGACTCTCTTTATAAAAAGTGCTTCCTGGTACAGTTGGCTCATGAAGTGAGTCATTTATTTATTCATTTTTTTTCTGAAGCAAGTGATTAAAGCAAAATACAGCGTGAGTGTTTTCAGCACAAACACTCCCACGAACTTCAGAGCAATCACAATAAAGTTCTTATATGGAGGGGTTACCTCACATGGTTGATCAGCTGTTCCCGCAGACAGTCCAGGTTCAGCTCAACTGCAGCAGGACCCTCCTCCCGCTGTCAGTGTCCTGTTATTCCCGTAATGTGAAGAGAATCAAATTTCTTTTTCTACATCTCCAGACAGCAGTAACATTGCCAGAAGTAGTTTATAACAGAATAATCACAACTTTCCTGATAGTAGACATCCTGGGATGTGTAGTCCCAGTGAATTAGCGACTTGCACTTCCTGTTTCTTACAGGTATGCGTCTGATGTAATGACATTGCGTAGCCCAACTGATTCGCGAGTAAAAGAAAAAGAATTCCTGTATCCGCGTCATGATCTGGAGCATCACTAAAATTTTATGGCGTGTTCCTTGGGCCAATACCCACATGTGGTAAAAATTTCATGACAATCCGTCCACAGGTTTTTGTGTAATGTTGTCCACAGACAGACAAACATACGTGACCGAAAACATTACCTCCCCCCTTGGCGGAGGTAACAATACTTCACCCTCAAAGCTGATGGTTCTTTTTTTTTTTAATGTTTTGGAAAACAAATAAGACCTATTTTTCTTTATTTTAGGTTGTTAAGAAAGTTCATACTATAGCTATTTTCTGTTTCTGAACTACTGCTCAGAAATAAAATATTCACATTTAATCGAGTGTTCTTTCCTTGTAGGCTAGTAATTTAAAATAGCACGTTCATGACATTAAAAAAAAAAGACAAATAGAGAAGGCATGAACAGTTTTATGTATTTCTTTTACTGCAGCTGTGCCAAAAATTAATCTGTGGAGCTTCTCAAATAGAAACTCTTACCCGTTCTCATTTTTTGTGAGAATTAATTTAGGATTTTAAAAAGGACTGCCATCTTCATGTTACAACCTTGGCTGAGTTTTATTGTTTTCTTTTAAAGTCAAAGCAAGAAATACTATTACGTTTTTGTAACTGTTGTTCGGAGAAGTAGTATTCAGTGTTTTTAACTGATTAAATGTTTTGTTATTAGTTTACAGGGAGTTCGCTGACAGGGGGGAAAGAGCAGCTGAAGAAATCGGAGGAAGAGGACCTGATAACCAAACAGAACAAAAAGAGGCCCAGGCCAATTCTCATGCACATGTCTCCACTGCTGAAGGTACATTTTGAACTAATCACTAGTTATTATATGTTCCTTTGGAGAAAACATAAAAAGCTGTTATAGGTAATTCAATAAAAGCTCAAATGCTACAACTTTCAGCCTGTTTTTAAATGGTTGTGTAAATGTTCTGTAAAACATTAAACAACTGAAACACGCATCAGATTAGGGCTGCACAATATATCGTAAATTTATCGTTATCGCGATAACAGCCAGTGCATATCGCAAAAAATGCATAAATTGCAATAGAAGATTGGCTCTAATGTTTGCCTTTGTGTGGTTTGTCAGCATTAGTCTGATAAATAAAATGGAGTAGAGAAACAACATCAAATCATAATCACTCCATCATGTTGTAATGAAAATTTGTTGTTTTTTGCTCTGAATCCGGAGCAGAAAAACATCAACATTGCATACTTGAGTATTTTTTTATTTATCGTAAGTCATATCGTCATTACAATAATAAGCACTGTTATTGCACATCGCAGGTTTTCTTGATATTGTGCAGCCCTACATCGGATGTTGAGCATCACTTTTTTTTTTCGTTGTTCATGTTTCATAAAAGCTGAGACTTTGGCAGGTTTACAGCTGTATTACATTTCCTCATGTAAAAATGCATTTGAGAATTCACTGAACCAAATAAGGAAATGACATTTTTATTCTTGCTTCCTTTAAATGTCTCCAGTCTAACAGCTCAAGTGTTTAACAAGTTCTAACTTTTGTCTGTACTTTCTGTTATGTATCCAACACCAGGCTTTGACTTATTAGTAAATAAAGCACATGATTAATTGTTTTTACTTTAGATGTTACAGTTAAACATCAATAATCTGCATTAATGGTGCCTTCACAAACGTGCAAGTTACCCGTGCTTTGTTCGCTAATGCACCTCCATCAGCATGGCTTTCAGCTTTGTGCTGACGACAAGCAAACGGATCGTTTTCTTTAGTACAAGTTTTGATTCTTCACACTACAAGAAAACTTTTTCTTTATATAAAACAGCTGCGATCTGAAGCTTACCGAAGGATTTTCTTTACGTGATAGATTGAAATAGCTCTTTCTGATGTAGCAGCAAAGGTTCATAGTTTTCCTGGTATAAAATGCTTTTTTCTGTTGAACATGCAGTCTCCCAATTTTTACAATCCTTTGAATATGTATTTTCTTTCATTGTAAATATAATTTTGTTTTCTGCATTTAGAAAAAGATGAGGTATACCTGCACCAAAGATCAGTCCTTTGCTTCTGTTGGGAAACACGGTGTCTTAAGAGAATTTTCCTTCTTTGATAAGGTGAGGAATCAGTTTTCCTGTTCTTTTATTTCTCTTTTTCTTTACTTTCTTCATTTTGTCATTGATTTGTATTCTCTGGTTTTCTTGTCAAACCTCCATCATTCAGGTTCGTCGCCTGTTTAAAAGTCAGGAAGTGTACGAGAACTTCCTACGATGCATTGCCTTGTTCAACCAGGAAGTAGTTTCTGGAGCAGAGCTGCTGCAGCTGGTCACGCCTTTCCTGGGGTGAGTGGATGGATGAATGTATGAAATATCATCAAATATGTATATCAAATATCGTGATAGTATAACAGACTTGTACCCACATCATGTCTCCATTGTTTTGATGGTAAACATTTGGCATTCTCTTATAACTTCTCTTTTACTTGTTGATTTTTTTTAAACAAATTGTTACAGGAAGTTTCCTGAGCTGTACACACAGTTCAAGTCATTTTTGGGGGACAAAGAGCTCACTCATGCTGTGTCGGGGCTGTCGGATCGTTACATGGAAGGGGGAGGGGGCAGGGAGGTGGATTATGCATCTTGCAAGCGGCTGGGCTCCAGCTACAGAGCATTGCCCAAAACCTACCAGCAGCCGAAATGCAGTGGACGCACTGCCCTTTGCAAAGAGGTACGATTCAAATAGTTTTACTAACTAGTTTTCTTAAATCATTGGAGAATATATATTTTTATTTTTTAAGCTGCTTTGTGCATTGGTCTTTCTCTTCTCTGCTTTCATTGAGAGATTTTTGGGGGACAGTACTGCCTTTTGTAGATGAATGATGGAGTGTATTACTCATGCACCTCTGCATGTACGAAGACAAACTGGAGCACAGAACAGGACACCACTCTAAAGAGCTTTTAACCATGACAAACGACTCTGTGTTTGTGTGTGAAGGTATTGAACGACACCTGGGTGTCATTCCCCTCCTGGTCAGAGGACTCCACCTTTGTTAGCTCCAAGAAGACTCCATATGAGGAACAGCTGCATCGCTGTGAGGATGAAAGATTTGAGGTATGCACATTATATTATTGAGTCTGACGCTTAATTTGAAATAAGCTTATAATATTATGGAAGGAAAACTGAATTACCGTGTGCATAAACGAACGGCACATAAACATGTGAGAAATGACTTTATGTATCACTTGTAGTTGGACGTTGTTCTGGAGACAAACTTGGCCACCATCAGAGTGTTGGAGAGCGTACAGAAGAAGCTGTCTCGCCTGTCGCCGGAAGACCAGGAGAGGTTCAGATTAGACGACTGCCTGGGCGGCACCTCAGAGGTCATCCAGCGCCGTGCTGTGTATCGTATCTATGGCGACAAAGCCCCTGAGATCATTGAGGGACTGAAGAGGAGTCCTGCCACCGCTGTGCCTGTAGTGCTGAAGAGGTTAGTGGGTTTTTTCTGTTTTAAAGTGGGGTTCTCTGCAAATTTGACTCTTTTGAGCTTTAAATCATGGTATATTGTCATTCCCTAATCAGAAACATACCCAGAGTGTTGATTTGATGTTTCTGCTTGGTAACTCAATCATGCATGTTAGCGTAATTCTTGAATCTCCTGTGGTAACCATGTGGAGTGCTTGCTGGTACAAAAAAAAAAAAAGCCCATTTACCCAAAGCTCCTCCCCGGAGCTCAGCCTGCAGCTGAGCTCCCGGTCCCACAGAGCACCCCTCCCCCACACAGCTTCACAGCAAAACGTATATTAAAAAAGGTCAAGGTTCATGATTTTATTGCCAAACATAGCTTCATAGTGATCTATATTTATAGTTTCTTTGCAAACAGTAGCTTAACCTTGACGTGTATATACAGTATATATGAGAGGATGACTGAGAGATATATTAACAAGCACAAACGTCTTGTAAGAGCCTCTGTACTCGTTCCGGTCCTTCAGAAAACATAATTTCCTGGTCCGACGCGGGATCATTCGAGTAAGATTCAACTGTATCCTGGGTTGCCATTTTCTAAAACATATAATGTATAATGTTAATTTTTTTTCTACAACACAATGCAACGCTCCTCCAAAAAGTTGTTGTGAAGACATGCTGAAGTGGGAGTGTCCGAAACGGTAGGAGGTACTTAAAGAGACAAAGGCCAATTTCAAGGTGAAATAAATTTTTGATATGAACATTTTCATAACCGAAGGTAACAGTTACTTGATTGTGGTATAGAACTATACATAGAAAATACATAATACCCCCCATTAAGTTCCCTTCTCATCTCATCTCGGACTATACTAGGTTCTATAAAACCATTTATGCTTTTAAACGTGCTTACATTAACATGACGTTAGATAAACGCTTTGAAATACCCCAGTTTAGCTCATTCTTCTATAAATGTGACCAAATAATTGAGAGTTTCTGGTGTGTTCTGTTATGCTTCATGTTCTGGCATCTGATATGCGCCGAAGCACCGGCAACATTGAAGTTGTTTGTGTTAAGTGTGAACATTAAATTTTTTTCATTTATGTCTCCATCAGATTGAAAGCCAAGGAGGAGGAGTGGAGGGAGGCCCAGCAGGGCTTCAATAAGATCTGGAGGGAGCAGTACGAGAAGGCCTACCTGAAGTCCCTGGACCACCAAGGGGTCAACTTCAAACAGAACGACATGAAGGCACTGAGGTCCAAGAGTCTTCTCAATGAGATTGAAAGCATCTATGATGAGGTAAAACTGCTCACACCTCCAATATTGATGACCATTGGCTATATTCTTTTGTTGGAAAAGAAAATGTTTGCCCATCACTGTTTAAGTTAAAATAAATAACTCAGGATAATAAAAATCTGTTACAATCGATAGATTTAATCAGTGGTGGGCAGCACTAATCTAAAAATTAGTTGCACTAACCCTAAAGCACTAACTTGAATATTTAGGTCCCTAATTCTGAAGCACTAACGCACTTAAAAATTTAGCAAAAGCTAATTCTAAAGCACTAAAAACCCAGCTGACCCATGGAACATTTTCTGTGTGCAGAATCTAATATTCATCTTGTGTAGTTGGGATCAGGACCTCTTTGTGGGTCACAAAACATCAAGTGAGTGTCCCCAGATGATTTCCAGACATCAATTTAAATGCAAAAAAATTGCTAATGGAATATTTTCATCATGATTATTGCAATTTTTTGAAATAACCATAAATTAATAAAAAATAGTATCGTTACTAGGTTTGTTTATATTTATTATTCCCATGTTTAACAGAGCAAAGTTTGCTATGTAAACAAGTTATATATGGGGTCACGAGTGTCTGCAACTGTTATTTTGTGGGCCGAAAGCAAAAAAGTTTGAAAACCACTGATCTAGTGGATAAGTGACCAACATGTCTGACAGCTTTCACCCTCAGCCGTTGACAAAAAATGTTGATCAATAACATTAAAAGAACTCAATTAGTGCTTATAAATTTAGCCCATAAATTTAGCAAGTGCTAATCCACTAACGAATTAAGAAATTAGCAAAAGCCCTAAAGCACTAATCAGGAAATAGTAGTGCTTTAGTGGAACTGTGCCCACCGCTGGATTTAATCGTAAAAATCTGTAAATGATGCGACCCTCAGGATTCATCTGTTTTCGCTTTTGGTCTCAGCGTCAGGAGCAGAGCACGGAAGAAGGTGGAGTTGGTCACCAGAGCCGTAATGGTTCCGGCTCGGCCTCGCCCAGCGAACCTCACATGATGTTCACCTACGAGGATAAGCAGATCCTCGAAGACGCTGCCGCCCTCATCATCTACCACGTCAAACGTCAGCCCGCCATACACAAGGACGACAAGGACCACATCAAGCGCATCGTCCAGCACTTTGTCCCCGACCTCTTCTTTGCTCGTCGTGGCGAGCTCAGCGACACGGAGGACTGGACAGACGAGGAGGTGGAGCCCGAGGAAGCAGGAGAACGAGGAGGAGGAGGAACTGCAGCAGCGGGAGGTGCAGGGGGAGGAGGAAATGGTAACTCAAGCAATGGATCAGGAGTAGCAGCAGCAGCAGCCACAGGAAGTCAGTCTCAACCCCAGGTAACCCAGACCCAGCCGCAGCAGCAACTCAACGGTGAGTCCAGGAGGAGGCGCTGCAGCCCATCACAATCCACAGAGATGGAGCCCTGCAGCACCTCCAGCAGCACGAGCCAGCCCACAGGGACCATCACACCCACCCCTGGCTCCATACCCATGGAGGCGAGTTCTGGCGTGCCCGGGGAGAAAGTGGACCTTCGCGACCCCGAAGCAGAACACCAGAAGGAGATGGATGGTGTCTACAACCTTTTTTTAGTTAACAACAACTGGTATTTCTTTTTGCGCCTGCACCAGACTTTGTGTTCGCGTTTGCTGCGTGTTTATCGGCAAGCTGAGCGTCAGCTGCTGGAGCACCGAGCGGAGCAGAGCCGGGAGAGGCTGCTGATGGCAGAAGGAAGGAGGGAAAAGGCTTGTGACCTGGCCATGGAGCTCCGCCTCAAACAGCCCAGTAAGTTCTGCTGGTTTTGACAACATCAACACTAGGATTAGTCAGTCTAACATTAAAGTTATGTTGTAATCGAAGTCACTTTACGTTTCAAATAAAAAGTTTTATGAAGCAGAAACTCACGATGCGTTCAACATGTGGGGTGAACTTAGGCAGGCATCGCAAAGGTTGAAGGAATTACTGAAGTTCCACTGTTTCTTCAAACTGAACAATCAGCTTAGATTTGTTGGAGAAACTATATTACTGTTTGAACATTTTAATCTGAGGTTTAATTTATTTTAAAATGCATATTAGAGTGATGTACAGCTTGTTGGCATCAACAGTCTTGAAGGATTCAAGGAGACTTTATCGTCATTTCATCACATGTTTCACATGAGGTGGAACGAAATTTGTACTCAGTCCAGTTACACCCATAAGCAATTTACAAAATACAGATACAATGGATACTCTAAATAGGTAAAAATAAAGGTAAGGTAGGTAACTTTTATAAAAAATATTTTTTTGCATATTTGTTAATATTGTTACTATGCCCTGAAAGTAGAATAGGATACAGATAATCTGAAAAATAAAACTTATCTGGCTCGTCCCAGTGGTCCTACAGCAGGGGTGTCAAACTCATGTTCACCGAAGGCCACATGAGCATTTTGGTGGCCCTCGAAGGGCCAGTTGAAATGAACGTTGATGTTTCATGTTTAACTTAGACTAAACAGTGTTTTAACACATCCTCTTTTAAACACTGATAAGAACTACAGTGGGGAAAATAAGTATTTAGTCAGTCACCAATTGTGCAAGTTCTCCCACTTAAAAAGATGAGAGAGGCCTGTAATTGACATCATAGGTAGACCTCAACTATGAGAGACAAAATGTGAAAAAAAATTTGAGAAAATCATTTTGTCTGACTTTTAAAGAATTTTTTTGCAAATAATGGTGGAAAATAAGTATTTGGTCAATAACAAAATTTCACCTCAATACTTTGTTGTATTTCCTTTGTTGGCAATGACAGAGGTCAAABGTTTTCTGTAAGTCTTCACAAGGTTGGCACACACTGTTGCTGGTATGTTGGCCCATTCCTCCATGCAGATCTCCTCTAGAGCAGTGATGTTTTGGGGCTGTCGGCGGGCAACACGGACTTTCAACTCCCTCCAAAGGTTTTCGATGGGGTTGAGATCGGGAGACTGGCTAGGCCACTCCAGGACTTTGAAATGTTTCTTACGAAGCCACTCCTTTGTTGCCCTGGCAGTGTGCTTGGGATCATTGTCATGCTGAAAGACCCAGCCACGTTTCATCTTCATTGCCCTTGCTGATCGAAGGAGGTTTGCACCCAAAATCTCACAATACATGGCCCCATTCATTCTTTCATGTACACGGACCAGTCGTCCTGGTCCCTTTGCAGAGAAACAGCCCCAAAGCATGATGTTGCCACCCCCATGCTTCACAGTTGGTATGGTGTTCTTTGGATGCAACTCCGCATTCACTTTCCTCCAAACACAACGAGTTGTGTTTTTACCAAATAGTTCTACTTTGGTTTCATCTGACCATATGACATTCTCCCAATACTCTTCTGGAACATCCAAATGCTCTCTAGCAAACTTCAGACGTGCCTGGATATGGACTGGCTTAAGAAGGGGGACACGTCTGGCACTGCAAGATCTGAGTCCCTGGCGTCGTAGTGTGTTGCTGATGGTAGCCTTTGTAACATTGGTCCCAGCTTTCTGCAGGTCATTCACTAGATCCCCCCTTGTGGTTCTGGGATTTTTCCTCACCGTTCTTGTGATCATTTTGACCCCACGGGCTGAGATCTTGCGTGGAGCCCCAGATCGAGGGAGATTAGTAGTGGTCTTGTATGTCTTCCATTTTCTGATTATCGCTCCCACAGTAGATTTCTTCACACCAAGCTGCTTGCCTATTGCAGATTCAGTCTTCCCAGCCTGGTGCAGGTCTATAATTCGGTTTCTGGTGTCCTCCGACAGCTCTTTCGTCTTCACCATCGTGGAGTTTGGAGTGTGACTGTTTGAGGTTGTGGGCAGGTGTCTTTTATACTGTTAACGACTTCAAACAGGTGCCATTAATACAGGTAATGAGTGGGGGAAAGAGGAGCCTCTTAAAAAAGAAGTTACAGGTCTGTGACAGCCAGAAATCTTGCTTGTTTGTAGGTGACCAAATACTTATTTTCCACCATTATTTGCAAAAAAAATTCTTTAAAAGTCAGACAAAATGATTTTCTCAAATTTTTTTTCACATTTTGTCTCTCATAGTTGAGGTCTACCTATGATGTCAATTACAGGCCTCTCTCATCTTTTTAAGTGGGAGAACTTGCACAATTGGTGACTGACTAAATACTTATTTTCCCCACTGTAAGTGTACGACTGACTAAATCTGAAATAAATACAGAAATGACGGACCACACGGGAATGACCAGCGGGCCAGATGTGGCCCGTGGGCTTTGAGTTTGACACGTGTGTCCTACAGCCATTTGTAGTAACAGACTGCTCCCAGTCAAAAACGGCCAATCAGAGACAAAAGGGGTGTCTTACCAGTGTCAGTCACAAATTTTCAGACTAAGTCCACTGTTTGCTCAAAACTCCCAACTGCAGCTTTAAATCACATACATTATAATAGCTAAGATTATTTTAAATAAATATATTTTAAATATTGTTTAAAATATTTTAAATAAAACGCATTTATTTTATTTAGAACAAGGTGTCTTTCCTTTCTTATAGGGCTACATCCTCTTAGCATGATAGTTGTAACAAAAAAAAAAACAACTTGTATAATCTTCTTAAACTGACAAACTTTTCATTTGAAATGTTAACTGTAACATATTGAATGGTGTGTCGATATGTGTGTTGGTTCCAGGTATCTGTACACCATTACATCTGATCAAGGCAAACCCTTTTGAAATGTAGAAGATTTGTAAATAATGATAGCAGCTCCGCCGTCTCTGTCGTGCTTTAGAGAGGACATCAGCACCTCCTCATAGGGCAGAAAGTGTGAGAGTCAGTTGTGTTACTATGTTCCTGTAAAACCAACCATTATTATCAAATAATCCACAATTTGGTGCATTTCTAAATTAAACCATTGCACAAACCGTACAAGTCTGGGTGACCAGTTCAGATCTGCATTAACTCTTACCTGGAGGCAGATGACTCATTTGTGCTGCGACACCGTGCTGCTGTGAAAACTGTGACGTCTCGTTACATCCACAGGCGAAGTAGAGCTGGAGGAGTACTACCCAGCCTTCCTGGATATGGTGCGCAGTCTCCTAGATGGAAACCTGGACTCTACGCAGTACGAAGACACGCTGAGAGAGATGTTCACCATCCACGCCTACATCGGCTTCACCATCGACAAAGTCATCCACAACATCATCCGGCAGGTGAGAAAAGTTACTTTTGGACTGAGCCCTCACATCTGCCGTGAAGTAACAGTCCCCGTTATCTTTTTGTTTTTTTCCCTGACATCAGCTGCAGCACCTGGTGAGCGACGAGGTGTGTCTGCAGGTGGTCGATCTTTACCTGGCTGAGAGGAAGAGGGGGGCAGCAGGTGGGAACCTGTCCTCTCAGTGTGTTCGATCGGCTTGGGAGACGAGCTACCAGTGGAAAGCTGAGAGGATCATGGCCGAGGAGAACTGCTTCAAGGTGAGCTCAAAGTCCTGGAAAATGTAGGACTTGATGACTACATGTGTTTGAAATGAGTCAGTACCTCCATTCTCCATTTGCTCTGTGAAAATACACAGTTTACAGCTGCTGGGTAACTCAGTGAGAGGTCCCAGAAAACAAGGTGCACCATTAACAACTGTCTTTGTGTGAGACATTTCAGAAAAGGCTCAAAAACATTGACTACTGGAGGTTTTCAGTTTTCTTTCTTTGCAGATTTTTTTTTCTAAATTTATCAAACAAACACTTTGTCTGCATATGAAGGATCAACATGGGCCGGATCGTTTGTGGACCGGAAGAAAACGGCTGTGAATCTGGACAGTCTAGACTTCAGCTTTATTTCCGCCCTTACCTCAGTGTATGTCCTGTCGCTTTGCAAACATCACAGCACTAAACAGAAGCAATGAAGATCAAAAACGGGTGGAAATATGCTTAATATTTATATATTATTATTATAAATTAACAAAATAAGCTTAAAGGCAGTACATGAAGAACTAAGGGACTCGCCACGCAAGCTCGTTTGCAATGATGTCAATGCAAATGACAAAATCCTAACAACCGCTTTAAAATTTCAATTTTTGCACTTGTGTCTCTCGCTTCATCTACCATTACAAGAAAAAGATCACCCAGTTGACCCACACTGCATCTTGGGATATGTTGTGCTGGGAATGACACCAGACCGTTCCTCAGATCGAGGGAAAAGAACGCATTTGTGGGCCTCAATCTGAGGAGCCTTTGAATTTGGACAGTTGGCGTGTCACAGTGATGTAATCAGCCTTCCAAGGACGTGGCTCCTGAATTTGGACACAACCATTGTGTCATTTTATCTCATTTATTGTTGATTTTGATGTTTAGATCTGGAACAGCACTTCATTATTTGTCTGTCAAATGTCAGCAATTGGGCTGGGTATCATGGCCAACTCTAGATTGATTCAATTTCGATTCATAATGTTCTGAATCGATTAATCACGATTCGATTCAGTTCGATCTGCTCTTAAATAATGAAAATGGTTCAGCTGTGTTGCAAAATACAATATCACATTTTTTTCCCTTCACTGTAAACAACAGGTTTTAAGGACAAACGTTTTAATTAAACAGTTTAATCTTGTAGGAAAACTGTCACAAATGAAAAGGTTTTAAATGAAAAACAAATTGCAGGTGACAGTGTTGTTAGAGGAATTAATTTTTAAGAAATTAATAATTTTCTTGATAAATAAGTGATGGGAATAAGGTTGCAGGAGAAGAGGTGGGCTAATATAAATGTACTTCTGCCCACTCCTTCTGAGTGTATGAAACATCTGTTAGCTTCTGTTATGTTCAATAAAACTTATTACATATACCTTTTATTAAAACAAATAATACAACATTTCATCACTGTGAATTTCATTGAGACTTTTCTTAAAGTTTAAAAATAGTAATATTGGTAACAAACTAAACGATTTTGTTAGAATTTCGTCTTTAACACGTTTCTACATGCTGTGGAGAACAGTTTCAGATGTTTACATATTGTTTGGTTTGTGCGCCTAATGTTGAAGCTTGCTTTGTTTTCCTCTACCGTGTAGGAGTGCAAATCTTTGCAAACTAAAGTCTCCATGGTCTCTGTTATCTTTAAGTTCTGCGGAGAGTCGGCTGGTAACTTTAGTGATTCTTTAGTTTCTTTTGTTTTGATCCAGACAACTTGTTATCGAAAGCTAATGTTGGCGCTGAACGTCAACTGGATGTAAATATACGGCAAGCCAGGAATGACAAAATATAGAAATGCATTTCAGACACGCACAAGACGTCATGGGGAAGACTCGATCTCATACCCTGTGAATCGATTTTCACAAATTTAAATAAAACTGATCCAAGATCGATTTAAGTGGATTTTTTTTTACCCAGGCCTAGTCAGCAAGGTCCCTTGTTTTCCCTGGTCCCCTTCATTCACAGGAGCTGTGGGCTAAACGAAACTGTAGATGAGGAACGCCTTTCTCCAGCCAAAACAGAAACACTAACATTTGTACATTTCTTGCATTTCAGGTGATGTTCATTCAAAACAAAGGTCAAGTAACGTTGACCATTGAGCTGCTGGACACAGAGGAGGCTCAGGCTGACGATCCACTAGATGTTCAGGTAACCTCCTTATTATAAACCTGAAAACTATTAATCAGAGTAGAGTTAAAACACCTGTACTTGTACTGTTCTTTTCTCCATAAGTGCCTGTCGAGCTACATGGAGCAGTTTGTAGGAACAGAGTCCAGTTTGTGCTCTCAAGCAGAGGGCTACTTCTTCAAACCTGTTTTTCTGCCCAGGTGTGATATTTAAACACTGTGACAACAGATTAAATTAGGTAAAAAAAAATAAAATCCCGAGATCCAAACCGTCCTCTTAAATCTGTGTCTTGTCCAACAGGAACCTGCGTCGTTTCCGCCGCTGGCAGGTGCGGCAGGTTGAGGCGATGCGATGCAGGAGAGAGTGGCACCGCCAGCTGGCCGTGGAAAACGCCGGCAGTCTGGACTGTCGATTTAAACTCAACACTCACAAGATGGTGTTTGTCATGAACTCAGAGGACTACATGTACCGCCGAGGGGCTCTGGTCAAGGCCAGGAAGGTAGAGCTGGAGTTTTATTTGATGCCTGGAGGGCGAAAACCGAAGTCCATGTTTTTATTACTTTGTGTATTTGATCTGGTTAGTTTCAGTGTCACATTTTGAGGACAGGAACAGACTGAAGAACTTAATACAGTATCTGTCTGTTTGCTGCTTCGGCTGCACGAGCTGGATCTCTGCTAACATGACACTGACTGGAGTTTAGTTTCATCTTATTTTAAACTGAAAATCTAAATTATTACCATGACTTGGATCTGAATTAGTAATGGTTTATATTTATCTCCCTGCTGCTGCGTTTTTTTCTAACTTCCTACAATTATTGACTCTTAAAAACATCTAAAAACTTTTAATTGTAGAACAAAAGTGAACTAAGTTTTGCTTAAAGGGGACATAACACGCAAAATCCACCTTTTTTAGCCCTTAAATTCATTTTATTGTGCACTTAGAGTCGTTAAAAGTTTCAATCCGTTCCATTTTCTGTATTCTCCTTTTTTTAAACAAAAAATGTCAGTTTTTGCTGTGGAACTGCTAAGCAAGGTCATGGACTTCCAGCTAACCAATTTCCAGAATCCACAGTTCTGCAGGTTCTTTCTCCTCTGGCTCTGGGTCAGACTCTGTAAGGCTGGATGGACAAGTCTTCTCTTGTTGACGTCTTTTAATTCATTTGTAAAACGTTTTCTGTGCCACTATATAATTGCATCTTGGGCTGTGTCTCAATTCAGGGGCTGGGTCCTCATGAGTGCACATTTGTCGGCCGCATACGTCACTGCCCCGCATGGAGTACTGTCCCAATTCAAAGGCTCCTCATCATGCGGCCGACAAACTCTCGAAATCCGAGCATGCATCTGTGTATCCTCACTGGCCGAGGATATCCCAGGATTCAATGTGCGGGCAGCAAAATATACAGAGAAATGAAGACAGAGTTTTTATTTAATTTTTTAACGAGTCGGCATAGTTCGGAAATTCGTTTTTAAAAGTGAGTTTAGCAACTTAACTGATGAAATTTATGCTGCAATAACGTTAAATAAAAAAAATTCAACAAGTTACGAGAATAAAAGAATATTATGAAAATAAAGTCATTATGAAAATAAAATCGTAATATTATGAGATTAAAGTCATAATATTCTAGCCTTTACATGAAAAAGCATGCAGCTATCACTGCATTAAAATGAGGAATGTTGAGCAACTTGTCAGGTTGTTTTTTAGTATTGCTTATAAATAAATAATTAATCTTTTAGCACATTAGCATCGAATTATCAGTAGCAAATGACTATAAACTGAAGCTGTATTGTAATTAATGGATGCATTGACAGATTTAGTCACGTAGTTAATTTGGGTGAAATCATATTAATCTAACCGTGACACAAGTCATCCTGGACTACGTCATAAACACAGACACATGGCTGTACACAGAAGGTGTGGGAATAATGAGGAAATGAGGAACGGAAAATGGTCATGACACGTTATCTAAGATTATGACTCTTTCATAATATCATGACTTTATTCTCATAATATTATGACTTTATTGTCGTAACAATAATGAAAAATCTGTGTGGCCCTAATACTCAATCGTAGATACTGGGGCTAAACCTGAATAATTGTTTAATTAATTAATTTATTTATTTACGTGTAAGGTTTTAACTGTGAAGTTATTCTTCCCGTGTAAAGACGTGTAAATACACATCCTGACGCATTTTAAGTCTGACGTGAAACTGATCACTATGGTAACAGGGGAGTGTGTGGTCACGCAAACTCTTGTGAAGCCGACGTCAGGCGGAGGGTAGACAATCTCATTTCACAGCAGTTTTGAGCAGCCTACCGGGCCCAGTGAGGATGTGGCCCATGTGGCCCAGCTAGGCACATGAATTGAGACACAGCTTCTATCAAACTACAAAAATGTCTGAATGTGGAGGAGTGGATGAGAATCATTGGAAGTGAGATCTGGAGTGGGGCGGGGTGTGAAACGCCTATTTTGTATTTTAAAGAGACAGCACCAAAACGAGCTGATCTGAGACACACCTTTAGAAAAGAGGGGCTTGTGGAGCTACAACAAAGAGGAATTCAGACCAAAGCATTGCAGCTACACTTTATAAAGACCCAGTTGAATGATTTAAATGTGAACAAGTGTTTAAAAGTCTAAAAGTTTAAAGGTAAAAAATATGTTTACATAGACCAACTATTTTTCACAGATCTAATTTTGCTGTTTACACCTGCATTTTTAGTTCAGATGCAGCTTCCAGCGGTTTGTTTTCTGCTCATTAAATCCTTTCCAAGTCTCTGATGGTTTTCCTCTCCCTGCAGTCGCAGCACGAAGTGGCAGCGAGCCAACACGAACACTTTGACAAGTGGCACCAGATCTGGCTGGCTGATCACGTCACAGCTTCCGCTGAGCGCTCGGTGCACAACTGGCTGATGGGCGAGGAGGAGGAGGACTTCATCCCCTGCAAGACTACCCGCCTTTCCACTGAGGTGAAAGGACAGATGGTCAACAGATACCAAGTTCATTACAGCAGTAGCAAAGCCCCCTCCTCACCTTAAAGCAATGGACACAAGGGACGCACTCTGACAGCTTAATGCATGGACTTACAGGACATCTGTACACTAAACACAGACACCAACAGCTACAGTGGAAGTTCCTCTGCCTTCATCCACAACGTGCTCACTCATTCAGCTGCACTTGTGGATGAACGAACCGGCAGAAAACGAGCGAACCGGTGAACGAGTGCACAGCGCGAGGAGCGAAGATGTGGAGATGAGGACCAGCTCACAGCGAGGCTCTCCCTGAACGTGGACTCCCATCAGTCGGACACGACGGCACAAACGGAGCTCATCTGCAGCATCTTCGAGCAGGACGGTTGATCAGGTGAGACGTTATGAGATAATGGAAACTATTTCAGAAATGTGAATGTCTGTTTTCTTTTTTATGTTGGGTGTAGTTTTTAGCTTCTAAAGCCGGAGAGCCTTCTTTCTGCCTGTTGGTTGAAAATATGTTTGTTTAAATGCAGAGATGAAGGTAAATGTGTGTATGTGTTTCCTGCTCTCTTCGTTTTGTTTGTAAGCCCAGAACAGGGTCCACAACTATAGTATCTGCATTATTACTGTATGTGCATATATACAGGGATCCTGTATTTTTATATATGCATCTACATGAATCAGCTCTTCAAAAGATCACGTGGTTCCTTACAGTGTTTGCTGTCAGCCAACTCTTGATGTTTGTGCTTTTTTTATTTTTGTAATTCTTCTCTTTTTATTTGTGTTGTAGCTAAACAAGTTATCACCAGGGCAACAAGGAGGCCCTAAAAATAATTGGTTTAATAATATTAAAGCAGAATTATGTATCTTAATCATAATTTCACAAAATGTTTCTTTTACATTGTCCTTTTTGCATACTGACATTGAAAATAAAAGCAAAATATCATCAGTGTTAAAAAGAATGTATCGTTTATCCTGTATCGGTTATCAGAAAATAAACAACTTAGTTGTGACCTTCTTAGACGTGACTGGCAGGTTGTTTGTTGCTTTAGAGATGATTCAATTATTGGTTTGAGAAAAATGAAAACAGAGATGCTATTTGAGCTTCCTTCTTGCAGAGCAAATATTAGCAGTTATCTAATATTAACCCGTTACACTCCGTTTAAAGTTGATATGTACAACAGAGTATTAGGTCCAGACTGTACTTTATTTCTTTTAAATTACAAGAATAAAGTCACAATATTACATGGTTATGTCCATTTTCCGTTCCTGGGTTGACTCTCACCTGCCGTGGACGGCCTCCATGGGTGTCATTGTGTTTATGAAGTGATCCACCATTACTTTTGGGTCAACATTACGTGACGACTAAATCAATCAACGCAGCCATTAACTCAGTTTGTCATTTGAATCCATGGAGTTCAATAACACTGATACCAAAGTATAACTTCACAAGGAGCTCAACATTCCTGCCTGTGACATTCATATCCTTTAAATACAAAGAGTCAAAGAAAACTTATTTATATGTAAGAAACAGTGTAATATACGAAATTACACTTTTTGTTTTTTAACAAAGCATAACTTCAATATTTTCTTTGCTCAGCTAAAGTGAAACAGGAAGTGACACCAAAGGGGAACTCTTTTTAGGAGAACTCTTTTAAGAGAACTGGTCTTTGTTTATTGAAATATTATTTGAACTCTGACTCTTTATCTCTCTGAAAGTGACTCCAAATCTAAGGAAACTTCAGCTTTTTCTGTTGTTGGCCATTGTAGCAAAGCTCTGTTTACATTTAGGCATTCCCCTTTGATATCACTTCCTGTTAGTTTTCACACTAATATCTCAACAACTGTTCATCTCAGTGGTGTGAATTTTCTTTTTTGCCATATTTTTTTAGTCATCTTTATAAAAATGCATAGTTTATTATAAAGAAATGCTGTCACAGACACTTTAATTCAGTGGTAAGACTTTTATTGTGTAGGAGTTCTCAATATTTTGATTCTGGTTATGTTATGACTTTATCCTTGTACGACTTTTTCTCCTAAGATTATGATTTTATTTTCATACAATCTTTTTTTTCATAAGATTGACTTTATTCCTGTAAAAAAAAAAAAATAGCATAGTTTGGCCCTAATACTCCATCGTAAATATGAACTTGCAGATTGTTGTGTCTTAAATTGAATTAAATATTGTGCAAATTCTTATCTTTCAATTGTATCACATCTTCAGAAAGTGGAGCCGGAAATAATTCTTGGATATATATTTTTCTACCAATTATGCTCATTGTTGCAAAAATTGTATATTTACAAAAAGGTACAGGAAAAAGTTAAAATGATGTGGTTTTCAGAAGGGATTAATAATTCTGAGTTGAATGATGATTAATCTGCGGTTTGAGTTTTCTTCCTGTCTGTCAATAAGCATAATTAGTTTTTTAGGATACATAATTTCTTATCAGCATGCTGACGTGTCAGTCAGTCTACCCACAATAAATCCTGCCTGGCCTTTTAGACTTCTGCTACTTTTGCTAAAAGCAGCTGAAGAAGGAACTTTTTTAAGTCACCTGTGAAATACTGCACAGAGCTGGAGAACAAACAAGCAATTACAAAACCGAAAAAAAAAGGGCAGCACAGTATCTATTAAAAGTAAGAAGAGTCGAGAGGCAGAGTGAGTTTTAAAAATATTCATGGTTTATAAAACCCAGATATGACAGAATCACCAAAGTGTGTACAGAAATACAAATACCATCAGAAAAAACCATCATGGAACATCGTTATACACCTAACATGTACAAACTACTCGGGGAGAAAAAGGTCAGACTGTAAGACATTTTCATTTCTCCTAAAATCACATTTAGCCACAGTGTATTAACGTCTTTCTTTAAGTTATCAAAGCAGAACATCTATCTACCAAACTACAGATACGATCACGCTGAGCTAGTTCAGAGAACAACATCGAGAGGGGGGAAGGGAAAGGATGCACACATTTTATGCACTTTAACATCATGAAGGTTTCAGCAAGCTGTGGAAAAAAGAAAAAAAGTCCAGATTCGTCACCATCTTATTGGACACAAACTGTACAAAAAACCCTGTTCTTGTCAGAACATCAGCGAACAGACACAGCTCACTAAAACTTCCTTTTTTTTCTTTTTCTCCTCGCCAGACTTCCAGCGAGCAGATCTGGGATCAGTTTATTAATAAATGTTAAAGATATGGGTCCTCCTCGAACTGCAGTCTGTTCCTGTGCCCAGCTAACATGTATAAAAGTGCTTCTAACTGCAGGACAGTTAACGACGACAACAAATATCTTCATGCACGTTCTCAAATGTACAAACAGCTTAACTGACAAAAAAARGGGGGGGGGGGGGCTAGGGCTTAAAATTCAAGGTAAAACAGTTATTACAACCAAACACATCCTTATTTTCTAATTTTCCCTCTTATTTTTATACAAACACAATCAACAGCTTTACACATGAAAAAGGGAGTGCAGGATTGTGAACGATCAGCTAAAATAAGCTTCTCGTCACCATTTTTTTAAAAAATACTGCTTGTTCTGGAGCTAAAATGGCAACAAATGAAATTCATTGTCGTCGGTGCGTCATTACTAATATACACACTATGTCAATAAATTAAGATTATGTACAAAGTGAAAACAAAAGCAGCATGCAGGCATGACAAGATGGCCTTTTTACAAAACTATCTGCGCTCTGACAGGAGAGGCAACGTGTGTGTGTGTGTGTGTGTGTGTGTGTATATTGAAAAGATCAGACGCTATCCACCTTTTTAAACTTCCCAGTTCTTTTAAGCTCATTGTGCACAGAGGCTTTCCAGTGTCTAAGCTACAAAAAAAAAAGTAAAAATAAAAGACAGAAACGGGCCTTTTCTGTAAGAAATCTGAGTCGTCTCATGACTGGTGGGTGGTGACAGTGTAGCCACAGGAATGAACATCAGAGCAGGGGTTAAACTCACACAGACACTAAAGTTGGCACCATTTTTTTCCCCCCCTGACAGCCAAGGGTCTTTTAAATGACTCACTCACATTAAAAATACAAACCACTCTTCATACGGGGTGGGGAGTGGGGGTGAGGTAGCAGTAGACATCAGATGCACATTTATCTCGTTAGCTAAGATTTGATTTAGCGAACCACAACACCTGAATTCACACAGGTTTGGAAACACTGAAGTCAATCATCTTTCAGCTGCTCCCTTCTGCAGGGGGTCGCCACTGTAACCAAATGTGGATGACAGCATAATAGAGGAAAGAAACCTGTCGGGTGCAAAACATGTCCCAAAGTGGGGTTTTCTGTGTTTTACTTCCTGACGGATGTATCGACAGTAATTTGTGACAAGAAAAATGCAAAGGAGGTGGGCAGGGTTCCCACACCTTGGTCAACATCAAATTCAAGGACCTTTCAAGGGCTTTCCAGTACCAATTTCCTCAAATTTAAAAAATGAGCGGTGGCAAGTACCTACTGCTACTGCAGAATTACCAATAAACAGGTTTAATATGTAAATTCAACGAAAAACTGAACATAGAAGTTGTTGAGTCAGAAACAATGAAAGAAAGTGGATAAAATGTACACCTTGTATTCATGTCCACAATACATGGACATGTAATTATGTCCTGGGAGGTTCAGCAGCTCAGTTTGGGAGGAGGGGATGTGAACATGTCCAGACCCTGAGGACAGGAGGAGCTGTGGTGGTCTCACCTGGCCTCAGAAAGAATGACCTGTCCTACTCTGCTCTGATTGGCTAAAACTATGACAATGGCTCACGTTATTTGTTGAAAGCCACGTCAGTTTACCGTAATCCTGAGTTATCCACTGCAACAAATGTAAGTTTTTATTATTATTATTATTATTATTTTTACTAGTTGATGAAAATCAGTCGAGTTAATAGAGAACTTCAACACCCAAAAAACATTCAAGGACTTTCAAGGACAAGTGTAATTTTTGGCTGTTCTCATAATCTTTCCAGGGCCTTGAAATATTTTTTTCTAATTCACAAAGTTTCAAGGATTTCAAGGACACATGGGAACCGTGGGTGGGTTTTAGTACTGGTAGCTCAGTGGTTAGAGAAGGTCAACATGTGATTGGAAAGTCATCAGTTCAAATCCGCAGATTGACAAGAAAAATGTGGGTGGTCTATAGGGTTAGGCAATGTTGACATAAAAATGTATCACACTTGTGATGTTTAGCCGATAACGATTAATATGATGATTAATAGATGCCAATTACACTTTCATGTGGCCTTGGTCCACATTGTGCTCTGTTTTAAGTCCGGAGGGTTAGGGTTAGCATTAGTTGCCCTGCTCTGCCTTCCACCACACGACTCACATGCACGCTTGATAATCATTGTGTGTCGTACACAAAAATAAGTCGTCACATGGCATTAATTACAGCAATTACCACGTGGCAATTATTAACAGTTTTACTGACTATTAATTGCAAATAATATGATTTTGCCCAACCCTCATTTGGCCCACCTCCCTGCCCTTGAGCAAGGCCCTGAACCTCCCTGATTCTCCACGAGCGCCTTAGATGGCAGCTCTCTGCTCCACGCTCTCACAGGTGCCATGGGGAAAATGCAGAGAACCCATTAGGGATTAATGGAGTACGTTACTTTACTTCAGCAGGGGTTTCCAAAAATTTCCAGAGTTTGCCAAATGTTTTGTTTTTGTGGAGATGCAAGTATTAGTTTAACTCTCTCTTTTGTGTTCCTTCCTTCCTCCAAATGCACCATGGACATGTTGCCATTTTGTTACCTGAATACATTTTTATTGATGTTAAAGAAGTGCTCCACATTTTCACTTTGGTCCTGCTTCCCTGTTTGAGATCCATTGATTTTAATAAACTCACGCAAAACCTATTTGGCTAATTAAAGATTCAGAATTACTATCCTTACTTTTATTTATAAGTATCAGGTTCTGGTATGTGCTGATGCATCTTAAAAATCCAGGTAGAAAAATCTAGCAGGGTTGAGTCAGGTCCTCTGTATGGGTTCTTCACCGAAACGTTTCGTCTTATATCCAAGAGTCTTCTTCAGTCTGAGGAACTGCAGGTAAGCTCAGACTTCATAGGCAGTACCTTCACATAGTGGATCAAGCAGTTTACCAGTGATTCCTGAAACTGCTCACGTGCAAAATAGGACCATCAGCCTAACAACTGATCGTTGGAGCCCTGATGGCCGCTTGTTGTTCAGAGGGTTGTGTCATGCAATATGAGGGGGACAATTGACCCCCGCTCCTGTTTAATGACGGATGGTTTCTCTTCACAAATATGGTTTCCTTTACTCCTCTCTCAAACCAGCATTCCTCCCTATTAAGGATGTGAACATCTTCACGCCTGAAAGACCTGCAACTCCTCAGACTGAAGAAGTCTCTTGGATATATGATTCAATGTTTCAACAAAGAAGACCCCGTCCAGAGAACCTGACTCGACTTTGTTAAACAGCTTCTGGGATCTTTTGCTGAAGTGAACATTTATATCCCTGTTCTAATCACATTTCTGCCAACAAACGTTTATATATATATATATGTATGCACCTTGGCTGTATTTGGTGTAATAGGGTCTTTAAGATGATCACTTGAACTTGGGATGGGGTAATGTAAGCTTATCAAAAACGTGGCACAAGTCAAACCATACAAAAAACATTCCACACAATATAAAACACATCAGGCATCGTTTGGGTGTTCAGTCTAGCCATACTAGTATAAATAACACATGTAGAAGTACGTCACAACTATAATTAATAATGCACATCGAAAGTATCGTACAAAGAAATTCCATAGATTAGAAATGTTTGAATCAAAACTTCCCTTTTTGAAAGACTATCTGGATGTTTAGTGTAGTAAATGCACTTTTCCTGCAAGTGCCTCCAGGGTTGTGATCGTGCACCGATGCCACTACAACTAAATAAGAATAATGATAATAAAAAGTCGTATAAAAAAGAATCAACGAGTTGAAACCAGTTGATTGGTTTTGATATGCTGTCATTGAGTCTTTTGATTTGCTTCTCCCTGTAGTGGTGTTTTTAAAAGGCGTGTAAACAGTCGTCTGCAGCCAATCTAAAAGGAAAAAAAAACTAAAACTAAAAGAGAAATAAAAAAAAAACTTATAAAGTCCGTTTAAGAAAGCAGAGGATAATCCCAGGCAGTGTGGTCTGGTCTTGCAATAATCTGAAGGTTTTTCTTGACACCTGTCCGTCTGTGTGACTGTTCATCAGCTCTCTCCTCAGCAGTACCAATATTTCACTGCTCTTGTGCTTCAGCGGGTTTTCTCTTCGTGTTGGTGTTTCTTCTACACTTATAAAGACCGACTTTATTCACAAGGATAGATGAGGTAATTGTGTAAAGATGAGGACGGACCTCAGGTTTACGACACGGGTTATAAATGCTTGTATTAAACTATGAGGGAGAGGGCTGAGGCGTGAGAAAGGAGGTCTTTATAAGCATAGTGTGGCAATTTAAATGTGTGTAGATGCTGACTCAGCTGAAGGCCTCGTCGTCCGTATCATCAATCAGCACCTTTGTGTCCTTCTTCGACCTAAAACAAGCAAAGTAAATTAGGTTTAAACTTTTAAACTTTAGAATTTCCATTTCCTGTGAAAATGCAGTGTTTATGCTTGAACAATTTTTGCTGAACTGCTAAACAACTGAAGCTACCCTAAAAATAGGTAAAAAAATAAGTAGATGAAATGAGCACAAAGAAAAAGTGCTCATTAGCTGAACTAATGAGTGAAAAACTGAAATTATCACAAAAAAGTGAAATTGGCTGGGAAAAAAAGCTAAAATCAGCAGAAAGCAGCTGAAAGAAACATAAAAATGTTGAATTTAGTAGAATAGCAGAAAATTTCAGAATGATAACTACATTGTAGGGTTGGGCATAATCGTATCGTGTGCAATTAATCGTCAGAAAAAACATTAATCGATTATTTTTTGGCACTTGACGATTAATACGATTAATGCCACCAGGCGGACTGACCGCTCAGTGCTCCTCTCCGCTTCAAAAATGACAAACCATAAAAAAAAGTTCTGTAATTTATTTATCTATCATCACAATTTAAAATTTGATGTATAACCTGAAATCTAATTTTGACACAATTTGGAACAGATTTTTATGAAGAGCAAATCTTTCCCACTACATTGGTCATGTGACCAGGACATAAAGATGTCCAGGGACTCCAGGGGATTATTCATCAAATTAATCGTTATCAGCTAAATACCACAATTAATCGTGATAAATTTTTTTTGCCAATATTGTCCAACCCTACTACAAAGGCAAAAAAAGGCTAAAATTTCAAAATATAAGCCAAAAGAAGCTGAAATTAAAACAAAGTCTAACTAGAACAAAAGTTAAAAAGTAAAGATTTAGGAACACTTTAAAGGGTTTCAAGGATGTTGAAGACCGCTCCATTCATTTTCAATGAGGAAAAAACATCCAAAAAAAGCTAAATATCTCAAATAAATTGCTGAAGTACCAGAAATAATAGCTGGAATGCTTTGATTTATGATTTGTTGAAATATCACAAAATTGCGGATCGAGATGCGTGCCAAAAAACGTACAGAAGAAAAAAATGGATCAGTTGTTTTCTAACTTTATGCCAGGAACACAGTAGTGTTGCTTTTGTAATAAGACCGATTCCAACATAAAACATCAAATAATTTATAAAAGTTAAACTTATTTGTACTTTTCTTCCAGCCTTCAGTCAAACTAAAAATCAGTTTTCCAGGTGCACATTAGTCTTACTGTGAGGTGGACAGCAGGGGGCGTCGGAGCGACAAGCTGTGAGACGTCTTCCAGGTCTTCTTGCCCGAGCGGTTTCGAACGCCGTCCTCCTGGTCCATCATCTGCTCCAGCAGCGTCTGGTCGTCGGCATTGAGCGGCGCTACAGAGATGTCGCGCACCGCACGGAACTCGCCGCAGTTGTTCAGGTGCTCGTTCTCCAGACGGAAGAAGTTCCAGACAAAACGCCTGTGAAGGGGAAGGGTGAGGAGGATCACTGTGGGGGTTTTGGCCCAGCTACGGAACTTTTGTAACTTTAACTGGAAGTGTGGCGTCTGGGTTCTAGATCGTTTTCCACTAGTTCGTGTCCCAGAGTTTAAGTGTCAGACTGAAGGAAAAAGATGTTGAGACTCACCTGAAGACCTCAAGAGGAGCAAGGACGGTAGCTACGATGTCCCCCACAGAGTGACTCTTGGTCATTGTGATCAGAGAAATCTGGATGGTCCAGGCAAAACGCAGGATCACGTCCTCTACGATGGCACAGTAATAGTAGGCCTAGATGAACAGGAGGCAATGTTAGTGTGTTCTAGCATTTCCTTTTTACCTTGTAAGGTCCATTTTCCCTAAATATAGTACCTTGTGAGGACCCACTGGGCCCTAAGCCTGGACCCCATTAGTTCAAATACAGTTTTTGGGTGGGGGTTGTGTTTAGGACTGAGGTGTGAACTGAGTTTTGGTCAGTTTTAGGGTTGGGTTTGTACCGGTAGGGTGTACAGTGGTTTGCAAAAGTATTCATACCCCTTGAACTTTTCCATATTTTGTCACATTACAACCACAAACATAAATATATTACACTGGAATTTAATGTGAAAGACCAACACAAAGTGGTATACAATTGTGAAGTGGAAGCAAAATTTTACATGAATCAAAACATTTTTTACAAATAAAAAACTGAAAAGTGCGACGTGCAAAAGTATTCAGCCCCCTTTTCCCTGAGTGCAACCAATTGCATTCAGAAGTTGCCTGATGACTGCTAATGACTCAAAAGGGTCCACCTGTGTGTAATCTAATCTCAGTACAAATACAGCTGCTCCGTGACGGCCTCAGATGTTGGTTAAGAGAATATTGGGGAGCAAACAGCATCATGAAGTCCAAAGAACACACCAGACAGGTTAGGAATATGGTTTTGGAGAAGTTTAAAGCAGGCTTAGGTTATAAAAAGATTTCCCAAGCTTTGAACATCTCACGGAGCACTGTTCAATCCATCATCCGGAAATGGAAAGAGTATGGCACCACAGTAAACCTGCCAAGACAAGGCCGTCCACCTAAACTTACAGGCCGAACAAGGAGATCACTGATCAGAGAGGCAGCCAAGAGGCCCATGGTGACTCTGGATGAAATGCAGAGAGCCACAGCTCAGGTGGGGGAAACTGTCCACAGGACAACAATTAGTCGTGCACTACACAAATGTGGTCTTTATGGAAGAGTGGCAAGGAGAAAGCCATTGTTAAAAGAAAACCATAAGAAGTCCCGTTTGCAGTTTGCCAGAAGCCATGTTGAGGACACAGCAAACATGTGGAAGAAGGTGCTTTGGTCAGACGAGACCAAAATTGAACTTTTTGGCCACAATGCAAAACGCTATGTGTGGCGGAGAAAGAACACTGCACATCACTCTGAAAACACCATCCCCACTGTCAAATATGGTGGTGGCAGCATCATGCTCTGGGGGTGCTTCTCTTCAGCAGGGACCGGGAAGTTGGTCAAAGTTGATGGGAAGATGGATGGAGCCAAATACAGGGCAATCTTGGAAGAAAACCTGTTGGAGTCAGCAAAAGATTTGAGACTGGGGCGGAGGTTCACCTTCCAGCAGGACAACGACCCTAAACATAAGGCCAAAGCTACAATGGAGTGGTTTAAAAAAAAGAATATTCATGTGTTAGAATGGCCCAGTCAAAGTCCAGACCTAAACCCAATTGAGAATTTGTGGCAAGATCTCAAAACTGCTGTTCACAAACGCTCTCCATCCAATCTGACTGAGCTTGAGCTGTTTTGCAAGGAGGAATGGGCAAGAATTGCAGTCACTAGATGTGCAAAGCTGGTGGAGACATACCCTAAAAGACTTGCAGCTGTAATTGCAGCAAAAGGTGGCTCCACAAAGTATTGACTCAGGGGGGCTGAATAATTTTGCACATCGCACTTTTCAATTTTTTATTTGTAAAAAATGTTTTGATTCATGTAAAATTTTGCTTCCACTTCACAATTGTATACCACTTTGTGTTGGTCTTTCACATTAAATTCCAGTGAAATATATTTATGTTTGTGGTTGTAATGTGACAAAATATGGAAAAGTTCAAGGGGTATGAATACTTTTGCAAACCACTGTAGGTTTAAGTTGAGGTTTAGTTTGGCTACAGAATTCACAGTCATGGCAAAGTCCCTGTGAAGACAGAAAAACATACTGTGTGTGTGTACTTGTTTCTGCTACAGAGTGAGGACCATGATATATTGTTAACCAACAAAGTGAGGTCATTTTTGGGAAGTGAGGACATTTTCCCGGTCCTCACTTATTGTACAGCTCACCTGTGCTTTACAAGTTAGGTTTAGAGGTATGGTGTGTATTAAGTTTTGGTTAGGGTTAGGTGTAAACTAGTAATGTTAGTGTTAGGGAAAATGTCTGGGTTAGGCATAAATCCAGTTATAAAATGAATAGAAGTCAGTTCGATGCAAGTACAAGTGTGTGTGTGTGTGTGTGTGTGTGTGTGTGTGTGTGTGTGTGTGTGTGTGTGACCTTAGGTATGAATTGAGTTTAAGTTGGGGTTAGTATGAGGTATGTACCTGTGAGGTTAGTTTTAGGGTAAGTGTTTAGGGTCATAGAAACTAATGAAAGTCAATGTAAGTCCTCACAAGGAAAGCAATGCACATTTGTGTGTGTGTAAGACATGCTAATGATTCATCTGACTTCACCTTATGAGGGTAAACTATTTCTTCTCTCAGGAAAGTGTTCTCTCCGGCTCCACGATCAAACAGACCCCAGTCCATACGCAGATCCCAGATCAGCGTGTAGAGGGAGCTGATGATGGAAAACACAATCAGCAGGTAGAAGAACATGTCGGCGTCCAGGTGTCCTTGTTCTGAAAGAAACACACACAAAATGATCTGGGTCAGAAGCTTCATTTGAATCAGTTTTACCTCAGTCACAAAACATTTATAAACACAACCACCAGGGGGAGCTGTGTTACCACAAGATCAGCTGTGATTGATTTGATGGAAGTCCTGAAGCACCTGCTCCACTTTTTATTTTTTCTTCACACTTTAACGAATATACATGACACTTTTTAGAACTTTAGAAAAAATATAAAAACTTATATAGTGGAGCTCACTGAAGGAAGTGTAGTGGTCACCTAGGGGTGGAACAAATGGATCCACCCCTAGGTGACCACTACAGAAGCAAATGCCACAATAGTTGGATTTCTTATCTTTATCATCCCACACACACCAACAAAAGGATTTTGGCCGCTTTTACAAAAATATATTATTGCAAAAAGCTCCAAACAACAAAAATGCAGCAAGTTTTTGTAAACAAAAATAAGAAATATTAATTAAAATGAGATAACATGTTTATTCTGGTGTATCAAAAGAACTGATCCTGAGACTTGACAATACAGGACATAAAATTAGCAAATCCCCATAAATCTGTTGCTGAAGAACCACCTGACCTTTGAACTTGTTCCTGAAACACGCCAATACTTCAACTATATAAAAGTGTTTGTTCTACTGTGTCTATTTGCTGAAATAGTTTAATATCAGTACTAATGTAAGTGAAGTTTCTTTGGTAGCTCTTTATAATAACTACACCTTATTAAGCCTTACTTAATCATTAATAAATGTTGGTTACCTTTGAAAACATTAAGGATTATTCATATTTAAGCTATAAATTAACAAATTCATAAAGGCTAATTACTTCCAAAACCAACATACTCATTGTTTATTCATGCTTAATAACTCACGAATTAACATTTATACTGAGTATATATGTAAATACTCATATAAATGTACATTATTATTATTATTATTATTATTATTATTATTCAAACATTCTTTAACCAATAATACATGTCTAACACATGGTGTAAAAGTACATTTATTTGAGCATTTACATACATGTACACAGTAATTTGAGTTATTAAGCATGAATAAACAATGAGTATGTTGGTTTTGGAAGTAATTAGCATTTATGGGTAAATCATTAATAAAGAAGTTAATTTACAGCTTATTAAGTTTGAATCATCCTCAATGATTAATTAAGGCTTAATAAGGTGTAGTTATAAAGTGCTATAGCTTCTTTTAGTTTTTGAAAACTAATCTCTGATCTGTCACAGAGCATCATCTCTGCTGCACTTCATTGCAAACCTTGTTATAAAAGCATTAGCTGACATTACAGCTGCAGACCACACTGTAGTAAATAATAATTACACTGTTAAGGAGAAGACAATTAAGAATAGTTGAAGGTTGTAGACATTGTGCATAATTATCTGTTCAGCGTTGCTTTGTACCGTGGGATGGGGATTTGCTTGTTCCTCAGCAGGTGTTGATTTATAAATCAGCACCCCGTGGCCTTTAACAGTGACTCACACAGTCACAGACACCAGCTACCAGACGGAGACCGGCCGTGCTCTCATTTGTCATCGTCACCGTTTCTTCCCGCAGGCAGCCAACAAGACGCCGGGAGTCAGAGCGCTGCTGATGGAGACTAACTGCTCCGGTAACGGCTGAAAACCGGTCCCCGCGGCCTCACACATCCTCCAGATGTAGATCAAACCATGTCCTGGACAATAAACTCTGTTCACCGGAGAATAATTATGTGACTTGCTCAGTTTACTTTAGAGCTGAAGGGGTTTAACCTTTTTTTGGTGCCGTTTTTCACTAAACTGCTTTTGGTGCTGAACCATTAAGAGGTTAAACATGGTGGGGTGGACATTGATTAGATGCTCAGTGAGGGCAAACGGTGGTCACTGGCTCCTGTCACGCACACTCAATCTCTGTTTGGTTGACACACACACACACACACACACACACACACACACACGTAAATAATAGCAATTGTTTCAGCCATCCAAAGAGGTTATACTGTTAAAGCACTTCAGGGTTAGTTTTTTGTTTAAAATTCTACTTCCTGCTAAAGGAAACCAGCTGAATACAGCAACAGTCGGTCCGTGCTATTAAAATAATTTCTCATTCGCTCCCATGGCAACTCTGCTCTTGACCAAGGTAAACATGAACCAAGGGGCATCCAGAGGTTCATGAGCCTCAACATCAACGATGAATCCTGCACTTGGAGTTCTTATTCTGCAGCAGGACTGTCAGCTTGGTCAATTCTGCAGTTTTTACCTTTTAAGCCTTTTAAACATCAATCACATTTGCTGATAACTTTTTCGAATAATAAAAATAATAAGAATTTAAGCAGTTTCATCGACACGTATTCATTGAACTAAGATGGTTCTGGTTAGGGATGCACTGATATGATAATTTCAGTCGATGTCCAATATAATTACTGCTGTTATGGCCGATAACCGATATTACACAAACATACAAATTATATTATACATATACGCACAAACACACTTGAGACTTTTCTTGATACTGTAAATAAACGACCAGACCTCTGACATGGCTCTCTACTTCAGTTATTCCTGGTTACACAGCCTCAACATCACTATTATGATGAAACAGATGCCGCTCAACCAACCATCTCCCCTCCCAAAACAGAAACACAAAGTTAAAAATAGGAAATCAATATCAGACATTAATATTGGCCCCATTTTACATATGGGGCAGATACCGATATTCTAAAAAATGACCAATATCGGCAGATACTGATGTCAATGCCGATATATCATGCATCCCTAGTTCTGGTGTGGATGGAAGGTGTATATATGTAAGTATGGATGTGTATATAAGCATTATATGTAAATATTGTTATGATTGTTGTCTGTGTTAATGTTTTATTTTAGTTTCTGTCTTGTCTGTTTTCTTCCTCCTGTTTGCCTTTGCTCCAGCCCTGCCCACTCTCACCTGCTCCTCATGTTTCTCTCCCAGGTGTTTCCTGTTTGTGCTCGTTAGTCTCACCTTTATATTCTGAGTCTTGTCTTCACTTCCCTGTCTGATCATTTTGCTGTTCACAGCCTGTTTGTTTGTTTGTTGCCTTGCCTTGCAAGTGAGTTTTTGAGCTGCCCTGTCAGCAATATGTGTTTAATAAATCTTTATTTTTTCCTTTTGGAAGCTGCCTGTACCCTGGATTCATTTTTGCCAATTCATAACAAATAGATACATATACATGTACATGTATGTATGTATATATTTTAGCAAAGTTATAATAATAATTATTATGATATTCAGGTTATTTGTTGCTGTGTTTTTGTTTTCTCCTATTTTTACGTGTGCAGACAGATGTTGGGTGTGTTGTCTTGTGTTTTCTTGGTTTATATTTCACATATTTTCTATAATCTTTCAATCTTTCCCATTACATTTCTCCTTTTTCTTCTCTTTGTCTTCTTCTCTTTATATATATATATATATATATATATATATAAGTCACTGATGATGAATAAACTAATATTCAGTTCTGTTTTCTACTGAAGTGGCAAAAAAAACTCTATTATTTTATTTTCATAAATATAAATGTGTTATTTCCGTCCCTGTCAGCTGTGTCAGGTGCAGCATTGTTCACCTGCACAAAGGAATCACTCGGACTGGATCCAGCCTGCAGCGGAGCCCAGGTGAGCTTTAAGTGTTATAGCCTCAGCAGGATGAATAAGAGTTCATGCAGCTCAGACAGACAGACTGTATTTAGACTGACTGGATTCAGTGTCTTTTATTCTGTTCAGGATGTTTGTGCTGCAGTTTGTCTCCTTGTGAAGAGTTCAGTACATAAAATGACCTGTTGGTTCTGAACATGTTTTTTTTATTCTCAGACTGTCCTCTCCTACTATTGTATCTTTCATTTCATGCTGATTTTCCTCACCTCTGGCTCTCCCTTGTTATCTGTTAACCTTTTCCTTTCTTCGTTTAACCTCTCTTGCTTTTTACCTCCACCTCTGTCAGCTTTAATTGTTTCGATTCTCCAGTCGAGTCGTTTCATTTCCTCCTCCATCAGCTTCTCACAGAGAGCAGCAGGGGTGATGTTCGACCTTCATTCAGGATTATTTTTAGATCGATTTATCATTGATATCACATTTTTAAATCCGTTCTCTGTGACTCGTTGTGCAAAAATGTTAAACCACTCCTAATGTTTGTATCTTGTTTTAAAATCTTTCCAGACTTTCCCGTAAGAATTTAAAGTGGTTTTGATCTGTAGTCCTCCAGGCTTCTTGAAGTCTTTCAAGGTTTTTCTTGACTTTGGAATCATCTTGTTCGAGACAAAATATAATTTCTAACTGTCACAGGGCCTCGCTAATGGAACACCCAGAAAGCTCTTTCAAACGTGACACGTTTCTCCATGGAATAACCCAAACCAATAGTTAGGTTTTGGGATTTTACTGAACTTGAAAAGAATACAAAACTAATTCAAGGCTAATAGACAGTGACGATCAAAAGATCCTGTTAGTCTCAGGTGCAAAACTTCTGCACTGCTGATGCCTTTTATGCTTTTTTACTAACTATCTAGCAGCCAATCAGAATGCACCATGTAACAAGCTTCTATAACACAGTTATTATCCTACTCTTTTACACAGTAACAAACTATTACTAGAAAAAAAAACAAATCCAATTTCAAACAAGTCCTTTACTAAGCTGTTTATTTATTGACAGAACGGTGGTTCATCCCTTGAGTTTAGAAGTGTATAGATGGATGGTACACACACACACACACACACACACACACACACACACACACACACAGAGCTTTGTTTTTATATTCCCGTGGGGACCGTGAATTGACTTCCACTCATTTTTTGGTAATTACCCTGACCATTTACCCTAAAATTAACCTCACAGGTACCTACCTGACCTTAAAACTAACCTAAACTCAATTTACATCTCGGTCCTAAACCTAACTTACCATCCGAAATGAGCAATTAGTAAATTACCCGTTGGGACCAGGCAATGGTCCCCATGATGCACATTCGGTCCCCACGAGGCTGCCTTTTTCTGGAAAATGGTTCACATGATTCAGCAAAAACATACATACACTGCCATCTGAATTCAGGTGTCCCAGTCTGAAAAATGTTAAGGGCCCCCGACCTAACGTCTAACAAATAACTGAAAGGCTGTCAAAAGGCTCAAAAAAATTATTGATAAAAAAGCAATTGAAAAAATAAAAAAGTTACAAAATTTGGGTCTTAGGAAGCAAACTTTTAAGAAATTAGGAATCATGCAAAACCTTTTTGGCATGTTCTAACAATATATCGTTGCACAAATCATGAAGCATCATTTCACAGTTAACATCAAGAAATTCCACAACAATCCCTAATCTAACATCGGATGAGATTACAGTTTAATGGCTCACAGCTCTGAGCTGAGTGCTCCTCTGAGGGGACAGATCGTCTCTATACTTAGTTCTCCACATAAATGCTGGTGATTTATTGGTTTCACTTTGTTTTCCGTGTTTTTGCTTTCCTTGGGCTAAATGTGGAAACTTCCAGGAATGAGTGAGGTAACACTTAACCCCTCAGGCTGTGATCAGGTTAGCGGTGAAGGTGACACCTCGGCTCAGCGACTCTGGGCCCTTTGCCAGATACGGAGTGACATTCAAAACACATTTTACAGCTGGACGCAGCAGTGTGAACATGACACCGGAGCGCCGCCTCCTCCGCTGGGTAATGAAGGCTGATCTGTTCCATCTCCACAGGAAAACCAGGGGGAAAGCATTACTTTTAGTGCATCTCCAGGAATCAGTTTTATGTTTGATTGGAGAATATTTGGATTTTGGTCTCTGTATTCATCCTTTAAAGGCTTTAAAATCCACAGGAAATGTCCTCACTGCTGGAGATTCTTCAAATATCTCAGCAACTGGCAATTTCCTTTAACCATAACGATTCATGTGAGTGTCTGTCTGCCCAGCCTACTCTTTCACTTAACCAACGATGGGTCTCAGCCTCCATTACGCACAGGATGAAAGTCAGCTTCACAGAGAATAACACATGAAGAGAGCCCATTAATGGCAGGGCACATCGGCTTCAGACCAGAGGAGGAAGGAGGATATGGTTTAATGGACGCCTTTCCTACCGAGCAAAAAAAGAAATAAAAAAAAGAAAAGAAATCGTCTGCCTCCGTCTCTCCTTCTTGGTTCATTCAATATCGCCGGTGGTCAGCTTAGGAAGCAAATATATTGATTTAAATTTATACTGGAAAAAGATAAAGTCAGAGCGAGAAATAACATTTTAGCCTTTTTAAAAGGTCGGAGTTTCAGAGCCGGCGCTCTGCTGGTAAATAAATAGATCTGTCAACAAAATGCCAGAGTTTATACACACGCCTGCTGAAATAAGTGCTTTGACAGTAACTCTGTGGAGAGAGAGAAAAAAGAAAAGTCTGATGGAGAACTGGCATGTGAAGGCTTTGTGGTTTTCCTTTATGAACACGAGCTCCTTTGTGATAAGGCTTCTGAATCGGAATAATTTCAGGCTAATTGCAGAGCTGTCAGTGAGAGAGTGTCTCGACTGTTAATGGTGATCCGTTTCTTTGTTTACGCCCTTTCCAAAACATTTTAAATGGGAATGTTGCTACTTTATTTTCTGCAATTTCTTCTCCCTGCAGCCTCCTGCCCTGAAGAATAAAACCACACTGTGGGAGCAAAACCTTGTTTATCCAGGGCTGCGTCAGAAACCCTCTGGGCACAGAGAAGGAAACCAACGCCAGATCCGGTCGTTGCACTCCGGGTCACCTCGGCTCTATGAACGCTCTGTGAGCTCCTCCAACACATCATGCTGCTGCTTTAACAGCTTCAAAAAGACTCACATCTGGTTTGAGTGCCGGTGCGAGTCAAAACAAAAACTACCAGCATTGTAGCAGACACATTTATAACCATTTCTGAGCGGAAACCAAAAGAAAACTTTTAATACAAGCACCATGCACCCATCTGAAGTCCTACCTCTGTGTGTGGCATAGAGGGCTGCGAAGGTGACGACGAAGAAGGTGGTGGAATATTTCCCAGCGTTCACGAGGTGGGGGAAGGCCCTCTTGGTGTCGCGGTAACGCCTCAGGCACTGGATGAAACGTAACCAGGCAGGCAGACACTGGATGATGGCCCGAAGACCGTACGAGTAGCTGTGGCAAATGTGGTCTTTAAAATCTGGGAAAAAGAAAAACACAAGAACAGAGTCTTTATTTTGGTTTCTGTCATGCTTTTCTCTCTTCAGTCAGGTCCTGCCTTACACAGTGGTGGACAGTAATGGAGTACATTCACTTGAGTACTGTAATTAAGTACATTTTTTGAGTATCTTTACTTACTTACTCCTTGAGAATTTTTTTGGGGGGAATTTATGACTTTCACTCCACTACATTTCAAAGACAAATATTGTACTTTTGACTCCACTACATTTCTTAAAAGCTTGATAGTTACTCTTTACTTTTGGCTCAGCATAGCTTTGTGATCCACCTTTGCTGTTTTCCTTTCTTGAAATGCATTTGGCCACAGATTATGTTCCTCACAATGGGAACCAATCACAGTCATAGCTCACACCTGGGATAGATTTGGAATTATGTCATCCTCATTAATGGTGGGGAGCTGAGCTCCACCTTCATTTCAAACAGAGCCCAGCAATGGAGACRGTTGAAGAAACTCGAGTGGAGAAACCAGAGCARCATGGTCCTATCTCAGCTCGATGTTTGAGATTTTAGGACTGAAAAATATTTTGTATCAGTTTAAATGTCTTGTGTTTYCGCCGTGGATAAACTACATTTTTGCATTTGACCTCACCACTTACTTTATTGCACTKTTATGCTGAAGTCTTTACAGGTAGTGAATTTGTAGCAGAGTGGTTCTACGCGTCAATACTTCAGGTGGTTTCTGAGAATTACAAGGTTCTGTAAATTCACTCTGAAAACAATACAGCAATGTACTGATATTAGACATTTTAATTTGTACTTTTGAATACTTAAGTATTTTTAAATGCATGTATTTTTGAAAACCTAAGTATTTTCAAAAGTAAGTACTTCAGTATTTTAATTTGAGTGGTTAACCGAGTAACGTTTACCTGTAGTTGAGTAAGACCATGAGTATCAGTACTTTTACTCAAGTACTAGAGTTGAGTACTTTGTCCACCACTGTCAGGTATCTTTTACTTTTACTTTCAGAATTTAGTAGAACCTCAACAAGTAAAAGGCATGATTTTAATGAGCAATTGTTACTCAATTAATTTTAAACTAAATGCCATTTATGTAAAGAAATTAAATAAAAACACTGTCATATACAACCATATGTTAGT